CAGACTGACAACTGCACAGCAATAAAGCATTTACCTCTTTAAAGTCACCAGATAAACATTAATAAAACCTCAAACCTTCATCAGGACAGACTCCTTGTCTACTTTTCACATGAAGAAAAGACATGCACAGATACTAATGGTTACCTCTTTCAGACAGACTGAATGCTACACATTTGGACAGGGTGTAGATGCTTAGGACATTTAAGTAAGTCAGTATGTATGATCCCAAAACAATTACATATTTAAGTTGATGGGGTTTAAATCCACTTACAAAAATGCCTATATTCAGTAATATGTCCAAGTCTTTTGCTGAATCCAAATAATCTTGCTCAAGGTGGCAGAGGACATCAACAGCAGAGACTATGGCCAAGACTTTACATCCCAGGCTGGACTCTTGGGGAAACTGCAACTGCAGAAAACGTGGGAAAAGAATTTCAGTTCCACTTATTATTTATACTGGAAGCTTGTAACACACAGGAACTTAGTAGCAAACATTTAGCATCTCTCCTGCCTGGTGTTCACAGGCTGAAAGAGCAGAACCGAACAGGACTGAGGTGCTGCTGGAAAACAGGGGCAGGTGTTGCCCCACACAGCTTCTGCAGGGTGTTGTTGCATTTTGGTTTAATGCAGGCACTGTACACGGCTGCAAAACTACCCTGACTCCAGAGTGAGTTACAGCAGTGCCACAGCACTTAGGAACTGAGTGTGTCACTACCGGCACTCCAGAGGAACACAGCTACACAAGCAGGCAAAACGTAATTCCTCTTTCACACGAAGTACTACAAACCAGTTTGAATCTTTTCGGATACAAGAGTGTCTCGGCTATAAATCTGCAGCTACCACAGGTGTGCACATACTGAAAGGCAACAAGCCTTTTACCTTCAAAGCTTTCTCTCCTTTAACCTGAGTAGTTTAAAATTTAAGTAAATATTTCCAATGTCAGCTCTTGCTCCCAGCGCTTGTGTCCTCAACTTCCAAGTAAGAAACAAAGGGAGTGACTTGGGCTTTCCCAGCTTTTGCTGCTCCTATTTCACTTGGGATCCACGTATTTCAAATACACTTGATTTTTGTTCCGGATTTCTTTTTTTAACATTGCAAAGATCCGCCTCACTCGAGCACAAGCCGTTCTGCCCGAAACAGCCTCACTTTGCGCACGGAGGGCAGGGACGCTGCTCACGCCGCTGGCCCGGAGGGCGGCACACAGGGCCGGGAGGGGGCGGGAGCCCATGTTCGCCTCCGACCGCGGCTCCGCGGAGGGAGGGGCGCGGGCGAGGCCGCCCAGGCCGGGCTCTCGCTGCCCTCACCGGGCAGGGCCCGAACGCCGGCTGCCCCTCCGCGGGGCCGGGCGGACGGGACACTCACCTCGCGGGGCCGCCCCCGGCATGCCGGCGCTGCTCCCGGGGGGTTCCCGGGGCGTCCCCAGGGGGTTCCCGGGGCGCTCCCGCGGTTTCCCGGCGCGGGTCCCTCAGGCTCCCGCCGCTCCCCCGGGAGCCGCGCACCGGCGGTTTCCACCGCAACCGCCTCCGGAGCCGCGGCGCCAACAACGCAACGCCTCATTGGCCGAGGCGCCCCGCCGCAGCCAGCCAATGGGAGCGCCGCGCACTGGGAGGCGGGAGGGCGGGAGCGGCGGCTGGGAGCGCTCCGGGCTCGGGGTCCCGGCTGGGACACAACACCACAGCCAGTCTGTCTTTAGACACTTCCAGGGACGGCGACTCCACCACCTCTCTGGGCAGTGTTAAAAACAGGTTAGAGAGTGTTGTAAAATAGTTGGTAATTGTTAAGCACGTACTGTAGTGTGGTTATTGTAAAAGGGGTTCAAAGGGTAGTTATAAGAAATACGGTACTCAATGTACCGTATTACACCTGAGTAAAGCGCACCGCCCCCAGCGAAACGAGCCCGCCCGGACAGCGCTGTAATGGCCAGTCAAGCGCCTTAAACCTTCATGAAAATGAAGGATCCAAAAAGAAACCAATCCAAAGGGACAAAACCAGGATAAAAAGGGGCTTCTGACCCACTGAATTTGTGCCGCTCCACCTGGAGCATCGGGGACATCGCTGCTGAAGCAGCCCCAGTGCCAGCACTGCAGCGTCCTCAGCGGGGAGCGCTCCTGCTCGGCCCGCGGGCCCCCAGCTTTAGGCCTTTCTTTTTATTATCATAAATGCTGAAATCGCTTTAGCACCGGGAGTCTGGTCCCGTTTTTAACGGGCAGCACGGTCTAATGTCTGAGTCAATTTTTCTTTGGAGAAATTGCTCCCAATATCCAGTCTAAACCTCCCCTGACACAGCTTAAGGCTGATTGCATCAACACCAAAAGTACCAGGACAGCAAAGTCCTGCTGGCCTTTACCTGCCCTGGGCAGCCTGGTATCTGCCCCTGAAACACGGGGTCCAGCTGTTCTCTTTCCTATGGAAAAGCATCACCATTCCCTTTCAGGGATCCACCACCGAAATTTGGATAGCACCTCCAAGAATTAATATGTCCAAGGATTGATGCCACTCAAAAGCTGCTGGGACAGAAAGGTGTTTCCTGTGCCCCTGGACAGCCTTGTCTGACCCATTGACACTGGGACCACAAGGGTTCCTTGCCAGGGAATGCTTATTGTCACTGTCTTTCAGCAGCCCAACTCCAAAATGTGAAGCTGATCTTCCAAATTGAATATGGGATTTCTCACAGAAAAATGGTGCAAGGGCAGAAAGGATTGCCTTTCCAGCCCTCCATCACCCTAACACCTGCACAATGCTGGGCAGAGCTGCTTCCCTTCACAAAGTAAGGCCCTATCACCCTCTTTTTGCAGCTCTGGGGATTTCTCACAGAAAAATGGTTCAAGGGCAGAAAGGATTACCTTTTCAGCCCTCCATCACCCTAACACCTGCACAAACAATGCTGGGCAGAGCTGCTTCCCAACACAAAGTACGGCCCTATCACCCTCTTTTTGCAGCCCATCTGCAAAATTTGGATTCCAGCTTCAGAAGTTAAGAGGTCTAAAGACTGCTCCTGCTCAACAGGTGACAGGAATGTCAGATGTTACTCTGCCCCAGGAGCTTCAGATGCAGCTTGTGTGGGGTGTGTGGGCAAAACCCTGAATGTGTGTGGATCCCCTGCCCAGGGGGCTGGAAATCAGCCCAAGGCCACCGAGTTTCCCTAAAGCTTGCCATGGAGCCAGCTGGAGATGGCAACACACTTGCTGCCCCTGGGATCTGGGGAAGTGGAGCCCAGCAGCACTGAGTGTGGAAATGACTTTATTTATAAAGGGTAATGTGGTCAGCAGCGAGTGTCAAAGAGCAGATGTGCCATCTGCAGCCCCACAGAGGCCTCAGCACAGCCCAGACAGGCTGGCAGGGCCCATCTGTGGGACAGAACCTCACACATTTAAATGCTCCTGTTGCTACAACGTATCACACGCACTGATGAAGGTGAGCTTGTGCTGAATCACCCCTGAGCACTATGAGGAAGAGCCTTCTTCACCCCAAATGTACCAGCTGTGTTACTGCCCATCTTTCCACCATGACACAGCAAGCACAGGGCTGCTGTGAGCAGCAGCATCCCACTGCTGTGTTTGGAGAGTGGCTTACAAAGCTCTCAGAACCCTGCAGTACTTTCCTGCCAGTGGTGCCCTGCATCATCCTCTCTAGTGTAAATACACAGAAAGATTGTCCAAAGTCCAAAGGTTTGGGGCTAGGAAATGGTTACTCAGTGTTCAAAATCAGGGCATTGCCTTTCAGTTTGAACATATGCCTCTACAGTGTTCTCAAACAACAGAGGCCACTTCGGGGAGCAGCAATATTTGTTAACCTTAGGAGGCTGAGCCTGGGAAGTTACAACAGTAAAAGATCAGCCATAGCTGGGAGCTACTAACTCCAGATGTCAGGCAGGCTCCAGCCCAAGGAACAGGGACCATCTGCATGCAAGGGAAAGGGATTTTATAATGTCCTTGCTCAGCCATAGATAAGGGTGGTGTATCTGATTTTCTCCAACCTGAGGAGTGAAAAATGTTTCCTGCTTTTGTTGGTTGTGTTTGTGCCTTGGTGGGTGTTCCAGGGACCTGCATAACCCCTTTGCAGGGGGGTTATCCTTCTTGAGTCCCAAAATACTGTCAAACCTACCCCAACATTAGCTCATGAAGTAAAAAATAGGCCATTTCTTCAGATCATGAACTTTCTTATATCTTCTTGCTCACCTCTGCAGTCCTGGGGAAGTTGCTCCCAGGCACAAGCCAACACTGGGAACAGCCAAGGGTGAGGAAAGCAGAGCCTGCAGAAGTCCCCAGGGTGGCAAACATGGCCCAAAACCAAGAGAGCTGGGGCCCAGGGCTGAGCAAGTTTTCTCTGAAGGAAACAAAGGCTTTGGCAAGGGTCTCTGGTTGTTACTTCAGGAGGCAGAAGGACCTCCAGGAAATGAACCATCTGCAGGCCAGAATTAAAGTGAGAATATTTTCTGCATTTTGGAATATTCACCTCAAGCTGGTGCAATGCTAGGGCCCCTTCTCTGCAACACAGTACTGCTGAGTCAGTGTTCTCAGACTCGGGTCACCTACCTGGTTTTTGCCTGAGTTTCAACAACTTTTGATTGAAAAGACCTCCTGAGAAAGTGGAGAGACCTGGGCAGCCACAATGTCAGTCTCCAAGCACTAAGACCTACAAACCCCCAGTGCTGTGAGCCAGTAAACTGTCACTTATCAAAAGAAGCTTTGTGACAGTTTAATAACCAGATAAGGTGTAGCCCCCCAGCCTGATACACAAATTTGTGTTTGGTATTGTATTCCTGTCAGATTTGTCAAACACAGAAGTTATTTATGGCGTGTAGGGAACAAACAATTTTAAAATGGTAATTAGTAGATACTTCAAGCCATAAACAAAGAAAACTCCATTTAGAATGATGAAGGAGCATAGAAGCCCCCTTCAGCCTTGTGTTCTCATGGACCCCCATGTCCCAGGGATGTGCCCTGAGCTCTGCTGAGCTCTCTGACCTCCCCCCTGACCAAGTCAAAAAGTGAAAGAGAAATGATAAATTATTTTATTAGCAGCAGAAGTCAGAGGCAACATTGTACTTAAAAAGTACCCTCCTTTTGTTTTAATAAAATGCCCTGTGTATTCTAGTTATAAAGTGAGGGAGTATATGGGTCCTAAAAACCCAAAACACTTCTCTGCAGGGACACTGAGCCAGAAACATCAGCCACAGATCACAGTGAGATGCTGTATCATCCCAAAACTCCCCATAAGAACAAGGAAAAGGACTCTGAACAAACAGTGAATAACAGGAATTAAAGCTGGCAGTAGAGAAACTTCAAAATATTTTCTGGTGACACAGTGCAGGTCTTTAGAAGTGACTCTCTCCTCCAGCCACTGCCACCAGCAGACAGACACTGAGCCCTGGAAACCTTGTGAACAAGGAACACTTTGCAGGAGCAGTCACAGGAGGTGGCAAGGGCAGAGCACAGAGCACAAGATCTGACATGAGCCTTCAATCCCTAAACTTCTCTCTCAATAATCACCTCTCTTTCCAGAAAGTGCTTTCAGGGGAGTCTGAAAAATAAAAGAATTTGACTTCCAGGTCATCTTTGCTGGCCTGAGACCCTTCTGTTGCCACAGAGAAACAGAAAAAAGGATTTTTTTCTGCCTTGCAAACTATGAGAAAAACTAGATAAACCTCAGAACCTCTCTGGTCCTCAGTAAAGCCAATGTGCTAGAATTAATTTTTTTACTGCTACAAGCAGCTTTGTCTAGGCCTGAGCTTGAGACAAAGACTTTGAACTATTACAGTAAAATCAGTTGATTGCCTCACTGTTGAGCTTTGTGTGTACAGGACGCAAAGACAAAAGTGAATCGAGCTACACAGATTTGATCACAAGGGGAAACAAGCAGACAGAGCTGATCATCTCTGGGTTGCCTTCATCATGACTTGGTTCCAGCAGCTGCTCCAAGGATCACAGGAATGTCATGACTGTCCTGTTCTTGCCGATCTGCCAGGGCTCCAGTGGGTAAAAGCGGATGACAATCCTTTTGGGTATAAGAGCAAAAATGTGGACAGGAAACATTATTTTATAATTAAACATTATTGTTGCCCAGTTTGCAACATAGAAGAAAATCTTCACTAGGGTCTCACTGTCTTACACTTCAGGTTGTTCATTTAACAGAAAGAAACGTAAACTGTGCATGGGTCAGGGTACAAACAGACTTCACCCACACAAACAAAAGCAGTCTGTATTTCAACGCTTTAAATGAAATACTTGTCCGTTTTAGAAGGAGCCACATAGTACATAATCTTGTCAGGGATTTATCCTGACAGCACCCAAGAACCAGGGAAGTACTATTATCAGTCTCCTTTGGGGAGATGGGTAAGACAAGCAGAGATGGGCATGGCTGACCTTCAGGAACAGCCTTGTTCCAGCATCTGGCAGGGTGACACCCCGTCAGGGCGAAGCTCTACCAATTCCAGTGGGCTTTCACACCAGTTTCACCAACTCTAACTACTGATCTTCAGAGAACAGTAATGCCACACTGCTCAACAAGTGCATACCAGTCTACGGTTTTATCTGGCTCCAAACCACATGTCTGGGATTCAGCATCCTCGAGCACTTAGTGTTTGCAGTCTCGTTTGGATCTGTATTACAGCTTAGTCTCCCGGAGGACACGGGAACTGCCACTATTTCCCCTGCTCTGAACCTCCCCTTGGCACTTGTTTGTCGCGTTCCACGTCCACGGACCACACAGACCTGCAGGCCCGATGGGAGGACGCTCTCGCTGCCCTTGGGCAGAGCACGGTGCCCGCCCCGGGCTGAGCCCCCGCCAGGCCGCACTCACCGATCGGGGCCGAGGCCCAGCTGCGCCGTCAGGACCTCGAAGAAGCGGGCGCTGTGCCCCTTGTTCTGCTCCGCCGTGCCCACCACGCCGATGGACGAGACCACCAGCTGGGCGCAGGGCTCGGCCGAGCCCGACAGCACCATGGGCAGCCCGCTGCGCACCGTCACGTTCACGCGCTGCCGGGACAGCCACGGTTAGCCACGGTCAGCCCGCGGCAGCCCCGCCGCCCCCCGTCCCTGCCCCGCCGGCCCAGCCCCGCTCACCTCCGCCGGTTTGCCCAGGATGTCGGCGGTCGCGGCGCACAGAGTCTGGGCCAGCCCCGGCGGCAGCCGCTCGGCCGGCAGGTTGGTGTCCAGCTCCACGAACGGCATGGCGCTGCTGCCCCGCGGCCCGGCCCGGCCCTGCCCCGGCGGCCGAGCCGCGGCGGGGGCGGGCTCAGCGCCGGGACCGCCCGCAGCAGCGGAGCGCGTCCGGGCCTGCCGCTGCCCCTCGCTCCGTGCCAGCCCCGCCGCCTTACTCCGCTTCAGCACAGCTGCAGCAGCCGGCTGCCGCGCCTTTGGGACTCTCCGTGGGCATTGCTGGCGTGTGCATTGAAGGCTGTGAGACCAAATGTAGCCACATTTCTCTTCACAGAGAAAAGCAAGGCACAACTTCCCAAGAGTATTTCTGGGATTCACATTCTCTGAGCCTCAGAGAAAGGAAAAACAATTCTTACCTCATTTGCTGTGCCTGTGTTTGTGCAAAAGTAGAATGCAGTATGGAGATGGTTTACCCAAAGTGATGGTTTTTTGTTTCCTTGGCTTGTCAGGGCCAAGTGTGTGCGTGTGTGTGTCGGGACTGTCGGTGACAGTCCTGAGATGAGTGCAGTTGAGCGCTTGGCAGATTCAGTTTAGATGTCATGTAATACAGTGTAATATAGAACAGAATAATATAGTATAATAAAGTAATAAATTAGCCTTCTGATAAGATGGAGTCAGATGCCTCCTTTCTCCCTGAGCGTCAGGGTTGCCTTGCTTTACTACAACCAAAGCTATCACATCTCATTAATGGATGGGTAGAATGAGTTTTGTGATGGCCCTTACTGCCAGTGGAAAAAAACATTTCAGGTCTCTACAACAGACACCTCTGTGCAGGGAGGGCTGAGAATGGAAGTGCAGTAATTTCTCTTAACAACAAACACTACAAGAAATTAAAAAGCAAGTAGAGAGGTTTACTGCTTTATCCAACGTGTATTAATTACAAGGCCTTTGAGCAATCAGGACTTTGAACTCTCAGGCTGGTAAGTGACCTCGGCATGCTGGCTCACAGGGACGGTCTAATCTACAGATCACAGGTGTCTAAACTAGAGATCAGAGGCTTCTCAGAAGCTGAGCTATGTCCAGTGAGGTTCCATGAGCTCGTTTACAACAAAGGGTTATGAACCAGCTGTACTAAAAGGTCGTCATTTAAGGCACAAAACTGTTGGGAAAATTTGCCTTGTGTAATTGACATCTTGGTTTTCTACAATTCTAGACAACGCTAATGAAAACTGATGAAACTGCTAATTTTTTTTTTTTTTTTTTTTTTTTTTTTCCTTAGGGAATTGCTTGGCCTTCACTGCTGCTAGTGAAGACAATATTGGCACAAAGAGTTATGTGCAGAAAACAGCCAGGAAGAAGGCTGGGCAAAGATTTCTAGGACAGAGTAGTATCTAGAAGTGAAACCTTGGTAAAAAACACCATGAGAAAACAACACTTTTTTTAGAATTTTCCAGCAAAAAATGTCACTAGCCAAGACATGGTAGCACTAGAGGAAAAAAACCCAAACAATTATTTGATTAGTGAAAGAGGCAATTCCTGAATTCCATTACTCATTTTGTTTTAGTCTTTACAGGAAGAATTTTTTGGCAAGGATTTTAGGGTAAGGACAACAACTACTTATGAATGGAAATATACAGATGTATATTCCACCATTTTCTGCATCCTTTACAATTTGTTATTTTCAACTGAAGAAACTGGAAATGGTTGTATTTGCTCAGTTTTATCTCATAAATTGTGCTGCAATTCAAAAAGATTTTGTGTTTGAGCTATAACTGAGCAGAAACAAACAGCCAAGAAAAAGAGCCCAAAAGCTCCAAAACAACTTTTTGCCCTTTTATTGTGATGCATGTGTTGCTCAATGCCACAAAATTTCTCTTATTACTTCAGCTGCACTGGGTGACTTACTTGGTGAACTTCCATCCAAAACAGTCTCAGAAGAGCATGTCTGCATTTATTCCCTCTCTGCATTTCCTAGGAGAAATGTGCTATTACAGTATTACCATGGAAAAAACCCAATTTGTGTACTGTCATGTTCTCTTTCACAAAAACACTGTGAATGCATTCTTTCAGGGTACTCCCTATATAATATCAACATGGGTTTTAGGTAGGCAGTTATTCCAAGGCTGTGGCCACCAGCAGCATGAATCTCCAAGAACAGCTGCTGCCACACATGTACTGGTAGACAGAGCACCAACAGAAGCCAGGCTTTCAGAAATCCAAAGAAGCAGCTGAAGTGAAGAATTATGAAGATTCACCATTGTAGAAATACAAAAAAATTTCTCAAAGGAACTTCAAGGGAAAAAGAAGTGTGGCATGTACATGGACAGTCAAGCAAGATGCCTCAACAATAAGAAACCTTTAAATTATTTTTTTTCACTTTTGTGAAGTAGCTTTGTGCTCTACTTGTCTGTGCAGACACATGCTGGGAAGAGGAGGATCAGACACACTTTGCAGTACAAATGTTAAAAGTGGAAACAGTGATCCTCATCCTACTCAGTTCTTTAACATTCCCAGTTTGTAGGCTGGCTTGAATTGTCAGGAAATACCATTCTTGTCTCTACCATCTCTGAGAAGACAGACACTGAAATAAAATCCAGATGCATGTTAAGTGACCTGTAGGGCCTCAGCCTTCTGTATAAATTTAATGTTTTAGGTTATAAACATTCCCCACTTCCACCCCCAAAGATACAAGAAATATCTGGCCCACTCTGCAATTTCTGTGTTAGAATTACAGTGCTCTTTCCAGTTACATGGAGAACTGGATGTCAGAGAAGAAGTTAAAAAGAAAAAAAAAGGCAGGACAAATGCTAAGATAGGTTAATTCATTTCAACATCTTCATCAGCACAGGTGCCAGTTGCTCTTTCAGCTGTGGATCAATTTGAATATTGCTCAGTTCTTTGATATTGAGGATCATCTCATGGGCTTGGAAAAAAAGCTCTTTCCCCACAGCATCCTCCACCCGCCTGCGCCACTCCCTCAGCCTGGGTCTGTCTTCAAAGATGTCACAGCCAACTCCAACAGGCTGCAGAAAGGAGAGAGCAACAGTGAGGCTTGGGGCAGTCACTTCTCAGCTGAGACAACAGGCACTAAAAGGATACTTGCAGGTAAAGGGGGAAAAAAAGGAAGAGCTTATGGAGGAGCAGTAGGAAGGAGGGAAATCTCTGGTCAGTGTACCTGTCTGGGGAACACAAAAGCTAGCCTGTATTTTAAAGGGCATCAGTTCCTGGGTGCTGGAATAGCTGTTTAGGGCAGCAGAGATGACCACATTCTGTGAGTGATTTTCAGCCACAACACTGAAGATGTGGTGGGCTGGCAGTTCCAGGGATCACTGCCCAGTTTGCAGTAGAGAGTGCTGGATTATACAGCAACATCCAGCACAAAATGTGAAGTGTTTAACTGAACCAGTGTCCTAATTAATATAATCTACCCCACTTCTGCTTTCTGCCTGTGCCACTCTCTGGAACACATTGTAGAGAAGAAGAAGTGCTGGTTTTCAGTCCCTTGGACACTGAACTGGGAGAAGGAAATCACTGCTGGGCTGCAGGATCTAGGCCCTGGTGGCCTGGCAGGGAAAAATCAGTTTGTAACAAACTTAATTGATTGCCTCTGAGATTAATTATTTCATCTTCTAGACATGGCATAGCATGGGCAAGTATTCTTCAGTGATAGAAATATTCCTATATGGTTGTCTCATTGCATCAGACCTGTATGTTATTGCTTCTCATTTATATATATTACCTCCTTCTTTGGAGGTTAAAAAGAAAGTCGTGATAAAAAAATGAAGAAAAGGTCATTGCTACAGATGAGAAACAAAAGAGATCTGTTGCAGCCAGCTTTTTTTTCCAATTTTCATTGCTGTTCTGAACCCACTCCCACATTCTCCCCATTGTGTTAGGCCAGTTCTGCCAAAATATGCCCTCACTTCTCCTGCTAGTGAAGAATTACCACGTGCTGCCCCCTCCCTGCTCAGCAGCATCTGCTTTCCCTTGTGCTTCCTCACCATGCTCCAGGCACTCACTTGCATCAGTTCCACAATGGCCACAAGATCTGCCAGGGAGATCTCACTCCCAATGATAAAAGCCTTGTCCTGCAGAAACCTCTCCTCAAATTGCTTCAGGGAAGTGGACAGCCCCTCCATAACCTCCTGGAGCTTCTCCGAGGGCAGTGGCTGCCCTGTGAAGAGGGGAATCAACACCTGAGGAGAGAAGGGACATAACAGCACACATGACCATCTTCTCTGGTAGTAGTCATTGAAGTTACACCCCGTGACCATCAGTGCCTTGCAATAAAGCCACAGGAGGGGATGGCAGAGCTTCACGGGCTGTGGCAGCTCCACGGAGCTCCTGGACAGAGAGCACACCAGCAGTCCTAAGTGTGACCTGCCACGGCAATGACCTCCAGCTTACCAGCAGCAATGTGAGGAACAAAATCAAGGATCCTCACCTCATTTTGTGCCTGGCAGCTGTGCCCGCCCATTCCACTCTGCTAGGCTACAAAAGAAAAATGGACAACAGCTCCAGGGAAGACAAAGCTCTGCCACAGTCACCCCTGCTACATGCTCTGTGCCACCAGCAGCTGCCCAGCAGCCACCCACCCTGCTGTGGAATGGGGTGCAGAGGCAGCTGCCTGTCCTGCAGGGTGATGGAGAGGAGGGAATGGCAGTGCCTATGGCAGGAGCATTGGAAGGACTAGGATTCATCAACACCGGCTGAAGAGACAGAAATGGCTTCCTCTGTGTGACAGCAGCTAGCAAGGCTGGAAGTGGTCAACACCATTTTTACACAAACCTTTCAGTAGCTTAAAGCATCATTCTTTATACCACTAGAAATTTTTCTGGAGCAGTCACGGAAGTGCAGTCCCTGTGTCTGCACAGACCTGCTGGCACAGGGGGTGTAGTAGAAACAGACGATCCCCCAGCCAGGGAATAATGTGCTCTGACTCCATGATTTGCAAGGCTGAACAACTGCTTTATTAAACTATACTATATTACACTAATACTATACTAAATTACATACTAAAGAGATACTATACTAAAAAGATACTATACTACAAAGATACTAAACAAAAACCCATGCCTGTCTGGAGACAGTCAGGACACAGCTTCCACCCAACTGGCCAATCAATCAAACAACCCTCACAGGTGTCCAATTAACAAATCACTCTCGGTAAACAATCTCCATAACATATTCCACGTGTGCCAAACAACAGGAGCAGCAAATAAAGATAAGAATTGTTTTCTCTTGTCTGAGCTTCTCACTGCCTTCTCCAGGAAAAATCCTGGGAGACAGAATTATGTCTCTATTCAGAGAAAGTGAATACCACACAGGGGGTAGTTGCCTTTCCACAATATTTTTCACCAGTCACAGAGGTATATGCACCACTGAAGCCCCCAGTGTTTCACAGCTGTGCTGCCTTCACCTTCTGCAGCTAAAGTGCAGTTTGTTTAGAGAATCAAAATTATAAACACAAATTTCTGTCGGTGCGAGTGAACTGAATTTCTGCTTACTGCTAGTATATTCAACAATTCAAATTCAGATTGCTTAATCCAAGCCAGGATTTTGGCCAAATACATGTGGAATCCATTTCATCCGAAAATTTGTGGCCAATTCTCTTCCTAAGTGGTTCCAATTATGCATGATGGGATCTCTTTGGGCAAAATCGCTTGCAACAGCATCTTCTTCCTTCTCCTTATCTCAGGGCTGTCTATCTTCTCCCATTTCTAGCTAATATGCTTCTTTTACATGGTGGCTTTATTTTTTTCCATATTTACAGTTATTTCGAGGACCCTTTCTGTATCTGGGCTATCTAATCACTATCAGCAGCAATTAGTTGGATTTCTTTCCCTTGGAGCACTGCAGTGACAGCCTGCACAGACTGGAAGAAACTGCTTCTTGTATGAATCTGCCTAATATTTGAGTTGCTTCTCTGTACTCTATAGCCAAAAAATCAAATACCAATACATTCAAGAAGATAAATGAGTCCTGATATGCTTTGTTAGGCACAAACAAGGGCAACTTTACAAGAGAGGAGTGAAGTTACCTGTTTACTAGCAATCCTGATTTCATTTGAAATTCCATACCAGCTGACCTCACAGAAATATACTTGCACCTAGGTCTCTCTAGGGATGGTTGCATTAACTGTCTGGTGAGTCAGCTGTAAATAGGTGTCCAGCAAAATCATCTGATACTAAATGATTTTCTGGCTCAGGATGAATCAGGTGAATTGGCCTGACTACACTGAGTAAAGAAAATCTGCCTCTCAGTGTCTCTCTGCTCTCTGTCCCTACGCCTATTTCAGAGAATCACAGAAGTGTGCTGGAAGCAGAAGACTCCCTCTGGATTTCCACCCTTAGGAGGCTGCAGGAACTTGTATGAAGAATGCAAGTCTTTCTGCTTCCAGGAACAAAACGCATGTTCACCAAAGCCAAACTCTGCCTATGTGCACACTCTGCACAGCTGTGCCGGGCGGGGGAGGCCCTTGGAAGCAATACTAAGTCTGTTACATATTCACTCACAAATCCATGCAATGAAAGTCTGTTGGGTTTGAGACCTTCTGTACCAGACCTTCTCTAAGGGAAAAACCGAAATGGCCAAATCTGCTTTTGCCAGATGTTGATCAGTTTGGAACAGCTCTCTCCCCAAGAGCTCCTTTTATCACTGGCTGGGGGCTATGTACAAATCACGAACAGGATGGGACTGCTGAGGAATGCATCTTGAGCTATTTTATTTTCCAGCATCAGTCTCATTACGTGGTTATGACAATGGGAAGATGCCAGCAGTTCACATCCCAGGCAGCAGACCAAGAACTTAATGTTACAACTTACTTTAAAAGTTTTTTGACTAATCACACAACCCAAAAGCACGTTGACAGTAGTTCTATCCGACCACTATGAGCACACGTACCTTCGGTTAAACAATGCTTGCTTATTTCGAATACAATACCTGTTTGTAAGCCTTAAAACACAATGCACAGAGCTCCATTATTAAGCTTAGAACTTCCTAATATCTTGCTAGATAGATTTTTCTGCAGCTTAGGGAGTTACTCTAGCCAAGCATTAATACACAGACCATTTTTCTATTTGTCCTTACTTTTCTACTTCTTACATAATTTTTCTGCTGACTTATCTTATGGCTACTGCTTAGGTCTAATCACAGTTCTGCTATCTCTGAAGCCTACCTTTTGCAGCTTTCCCAAAACCCTCTGATTTTATAGATTCCCACAGTTTTCAGCTAGGAACAGCCCAGGTTTGTTGTTTCATCACAACAGTCTCTGAATTGGGGCTGTTAAGATGCTCAGTACTCTCCCAGGACAACATCACTTCACTCGTGTTTTTACATTCAGTCTCCTTACCTTGATCCACATGGTCTTAGGGGCATTGGCCCGGATGTTGGCGTGGTGCCAGGACAGGTACTCATCCACACGGGCCCGCTGCTGAATGTCCGAGGGGTACCAGTGGTCAGGAGTGTTGTACTTGCGGCTCAGGTACAGCAGGATGGCAGTGCTGCTCACGCACCAGCAGGAGACAAGAAAGAGTCAGGCAGAACGCTTGTCTAAGCTCCCACTCCTGCTCCTTCTCAACCTAGTGCTTCCACTAAAAAACATTCAGATCAGCATTTCCAGTGGAGTCTAGGGACCATATAAAGGCATCTAATTCATGTTGACATCTAATCAATTCAATCATCTAATTCAATGTTGACATCAGTGGTCCTTAATCACCTCAGCTTCCATGAAAACTTTAACCTGCTGGAAAATCACAGCACTGTTTTGTAGTGCTGCTGGACAGTACTGGGGGTAAATACACTGGGGTAAACAAACAATAAACCTTCCTGATCATCTGTCAGTGATGGTGACTCCACTTGCTCCCTGTCTGTTCTGACCCATCTCTCTGAGACCTGCGCTGTTTCTGTGCCTGTGTATGAAATTAAACTCTCTGATGGGTTATTGCTGCCTTTTCATCAGGTCTATCTCCAGCATGCAGCTTCCACTGAAGTCAGTGGAAGTCTCAGCAAGGAAACCCTACAGAATCTTTTTGTGTTTTGTGTCCAGATGTTCATACTTTCACTAACTGGCAGAAGTCAGATGGAAAAATATCTTAAGTCATCTGCAACAACACTAAGGTTATTACTACCAAAAAAAGCCACAGAAAATGTGCTGACAAAATGGAAGAAAATGCAGACACCCCTGCCATGCTGATACTGCTATAGTTCAATTGTTTCAGTATTATGACATCATTAACCAGTCTCCATAATAATCTTTTAATGTAAAGCCTAAATTTTATCTGTGTAGATGTTCTCTCAGCCTTTATGACTAACTCAGATAAACAGAATTCTTTCCTAGAGTAAATGGGATTTCTTTTCCTAGGGTGAAAGGGATTTTTATAAGCTTTAAACATCTCCCAGAAATGTTTATAATCCCATTTTGAGGTAAGTGCATTCAGGGTGAGATGAAGAAGCTAAGTCAGCTGAGTTGTTTACATTCTGAAAGATAATTCAAACAGAAAGTGGAAAGAGATCAAATGAGGTTATACTATTAAAAATAACCGGCGTGATCATATATTCTGTGATCCTTAATTATTCCATGGGAATGACATCTTCTGAATGCAGCACAGATTGCTGGTACCCAAGGAAGTCAAAGGACTGAGTTCTTACCATTCTGCAAGGGTGAAGTCTCCGTCCTTCAGTGCTGGTACTTTCTTCAAGAGGCTGACTTTGCTTGCACCTTCACTGTTTGATGGCCCTAAGAACAGACAAGTCTGAGGTTAGAAGTGTATCTGCCAGTGCATGATAAATGAAATACCTGCAGCCAGCTGGATGATCAGTGAACTGTGTGAGGTTTTCCCAATAGGGTCACAGCTCACAAGTGAAAGGCATTGAAATGGCAGAGTCAGCGTAAGAGCTGTCTGCAGAGGCAGCAGGCTCAGGCTGGCCACGTGGCATGGAGCAGTTTATATTCTGATATTTCTAACGGGGTTCTTTTGCTTGACTAGGGTACCAGGATACTTGCAGAACTTACTGACAGAGTGGACATTGGCTAGGGGCAGGGAAGCTCACACACCTCAACCCTGCACTACACCTGACTGTGTTACTCCTGGCTCTAACAGGAAAACACAGGAGGAAGACACCTTTCTGTAAGAATTTAAACTCCACAGTCCCTTGGAGGAATTAACAGCTGACTATCTAATCAGGCTTTCAGTTTCCCACTGCTGGCACCAGACTTGCCAGTCTGCAGTTAAATGCCAGGGAATTGCACAACAGCCCAGGAACACCTGAGCAAGAAAAACTGTGAGGAATTTGTTTGCTTTGCTTGTTTTAAGTTCTCCTGAGGAGACATGACAATTAAAGTGCTAATCCTGATCAAATCAGCGTGACCAGCTGGAGGTCGTGTACAAAACTCCCTTTGTTCAAAAAAAGACAAGAAAAAGGATCATTAACTTATAGTGACCTCCATCTCTAAGAACTATTTGTACCCATTGAGGAAGCAGTGTCAGTGTCTACATTACTAGACAAATGTGCAGTAGGAAATAGTCTCTGGGAAATAAAACCAGCCTCTGGACAAACAAGTTTATTTGCAGGTGGTTTGGGAAGGGTGGGAGAAGGCAGGTTGCTGCATTACAATTACAGACTGTGTTCCCTTATATCGATTTCACATAATGAGTTAAATCAAGCACAGCATACATTACCACTTGTTCTCCCCTCCAGCTGACTAGCCTCTACCTTGTTTCTTTTGGTTTTTTTTAATTCCAATGTGGCTTCATCAGAGACTAAGGTTTACACTCATCTGCTATTTGAAGGGATTCAAATCCACATTTTCCCTTTCATTAGGAAAAGTCTCTGGCTGCCTGCTGTGAATATGGCTTCTGCACACCAGAACCAGGCAACACTGTCAAGAGTGGTAGGAAACCCTAGGCAGGGCTTCTTGAAAATAATAGTCTGACAGAAAGTGCAAGGTAAGCCTAATAACTGAGAAAATTGACTATAAAAATAAAAATGTCCAAAAGTGGGCAAAGTACAGGATGTCTCACCCCCATGATTTGTATCACAGAAACAGCGAGGTACATATTTGTAAATCTACTGTAATGCAAGCAGTTGCTCAGGGAAGGTGCTTTGTTTTGTGCTTTTAGGATGGCCCCAAAGGCCAGTGGTCACCACACACTCAGCTCTGGTGAGATCTCTAGTGTTCACCTGGTCTTTGGAAAAATGCAGTAGAAAGTTGCCAGTCGGTAATGCTTACAGCTAACGAGCAGTCCCTCGTCAGACCCAGATGTTTGGTTGTCCTGCTGTCTGTGTTTATTATCCAGGGCAGCAGGGAACTAAGAAACAAGGACATGAGAAGTAAGCAGTGGGTGAGGGCAGCCTGAATCAGATTTCAGAGAGCTTTCATCATACAGCAATTCTAGCAGGAATACTGAGCATATTTTTTCCCTGACGGGGCTACCTTGTCATTACAGCAGGTTGGACAGTAGGTCAGTGTCTGTGACACAGCCTGCACCAGTCTGGGGATGGAATCAGTTACTTTGGTTTTCAGATAGACATAAAAGACCAGTGCTGAGAACTCTGACTGAGCTGTGAATTGGTACATACATTGGTGTGAACACTGGCTCCAGGCTGCTTCATTGGGACCCACTGCTTATTGTATGAAAATAGAGACCAATATTTGTTTTGCAGTTTAGCAGAATTTAAGCTTGTGCCTCTCTTCCAGCCAGCAGAGGCAGCCTTTTTGTTTAGTGGTATTGGGTGGTCCATCTTTATCATTCCTGTGATGTTGGCTTGACTTGCAGGTCTTTAAAATCAGTTGTACGTGGAGTAATCAGTTCTTGATGGCTCCCAAGGATGGATGGAGGTATAGATATATAGATATATATATAGATACACACACAGTGTGTATTGTTGGGCTTTGAGGTCTAACTTTAACAGCAGAGTATCCACAGTCAAGAAGCAGGGCAGGCTGCACACATGAGGAAATCTTAAGCCTAAGTCATAGTGCAGAGGAGGAGGTTTATTGGTGGGTGAAAAGAGCAGTGGAGAAGTTTTTATGGAAATAGAAGGGGGGAAATCCCACTCTATTTGCCAGTCACATACCTGCCTAATCATTTAATCCTCAACCAAGGGTTTCGAAGTAACGTGCTTTGCCTTGGGCACAAAAGTAACAATTTACAGGAAAACTCAACATTTAACTGGGCAACAGTCATACAGCTGGAGGAGCCTGAACAGTGCTGCCGCAAACTACAGCATTCCCAGAGCACTCCTCGGCTGTCAGTGTGACTAATTTGCAAGAAATGGCTAGAGGAACATTCCTTGGAGAGCCACAAAAATAGATGCAGCAGAGCTACGAGACTGCCCTGGGCACTGGAGCCGCACGGCCAAACCACGGCGTTCAAGGCGCCTGGGAGCGCAGGGATTCAGCATCACCCGGCTGACCCGGGCAGCTCGTCCTTCCCTCTCACCGGGCCGAGGGACACGCTGCAGCTCCTGTGCCGGGAGGCGAAAGGGCTCCCCCGGGGTCCGTGAGAGCAAACCCCGGCCGGTCCGGGGCCGCAGCGGCGGGCTCAGCCCGGCCCCGCCGGGGATCGCGTTACAGCGCCGGGCGCCTGCGGCCCGTCCGTCCCTCCCCTCCCCGCCCGGGGACCCGCTCGGCCCCTGGGGACCCTCCCGTGCCCTGCCCTGCCCTGGCCTCACCTGCAAGGGGCTGCTCCGCTCCGCTCCCGGCCGCCGGCTTCTTCCCCAGCACCGAGTCTGCCAAGAGCCAAGAAAGGGGCTGAGCCCGCGGCCCGCGGGGCCGCGCCCGCCCCGGCCCCAACGCCTCAGGGCAGCGCGGCGGCGGCCGCGCCCGTCCCACCTTTGAACAGCTCCACGTGCTTGAACTCGAAGGGGATGTTGTTGCTCCGGGCGAAGATGTAGATGGAGCGGCAGGGCTGCGAGAGCAGGTCCAGGTACAGCTCCAGCCCCATCCCGACCCTGCGGGGAGCTGCCGCGGCTCTGCCGCCGGCCGCCCGGAGCCGCTCCGCCTGGGCCCGCGGGGGCCGAGCCGCGCCGGGCGGGAGGTGCCCTCCGTCCCTCCCTCCTTCCCTCCCCCGGGCCGCGCCGGCCGCCGTGCGGGGCGGGGGCGCCGGGAGCGGGGTCTGTGCCCTGGGGGCACCGGGAGCGGGGTCTGTGCCCTGGGGGCACCGCGGACGCCGCTCTCCTCCGGAGGACCCCAGGAGAGCCCACCTCAGCCGGGGCCGGGAGGCACGGCCGGAGCTGGGACGGGGCTTGCAGAGCTCCCTTCCCACAGCGTCAGGCGGCCCCGGCCCGCTGCGGCTGGCATCGTGTTCATTAATTTTCCTTCGGGAAGGGAAGGGAAGGGAAGGGAAGGGAAGGGAAGGGAAGGGAAGGGAAGGGAACGTGAGTAGTGACACGAGTAGCGGTCAATTACCACCCTCAAAGGTTGGTAGTAAGCAGTAAGAGAGAGGGGACTGGCACTCCCCACCCCAGCTTTGGCTGGCACCGCAGGGGCTCGGGAGCTGCTCTCACCCACAGCATCCCACTACGACGTTCACAAGGTAAATGCTGAGTTTTGTAACACACTTCTGCAGGGTTGTGCCACGCTGCAGACAGGGCCTTTGCACAGTGTCCTCTAAGGCAGTGTTAATCACACACCGCCAGATCTCAGTAGGGCTTTCCGTTCAGAACATAATTCTTTGGTCACATAGTCTCTGCTGCAAGGTGACATCTGAATGGCAGTGAAGTGTGGAGGACTTCTCTGTGGACATTACATCTGCATACTCCCTCAAAGTGACTTTCCTGTCCCTGGTATTTGTCACTTGCACTGAGCCCAGAGCGTTTCACAGCTGTGTGATTCGGGAAGGTGACTGCTGGCTGGGTACAGGGACTTCTGGGACCTGCGAGATAGAGCAGCTGAACCACTCGGGGCAAAGTCACCCCCAGTCAAACCCACCTCAGCTGTGCTGACACCTCGCTATCAGTGCTGTGCCAGAGAGCTTGTACGTCATACACAGATCTTTGGAAAGAGCCATGGGAATCTCAGGGAGGGGAAACTGGAGGATCAGTTGCTCTTTTTCATGTGAAAAGGCTTGGGTACTGAGCTGGGAGCTTGTGGACTAGACAAATTACAAACTGGAACATTTCTAGGGGTTCAGAACTTTCAGATTTAGAAGAGCACTGTAAGAATTTTTCAGTTTCTCAGCCAGACCAGGGAGAGGGGCCGTGCACCCCCTTCACTTCCCCTGCAGCACAGCTCAGCCTCTTGAGCACCTGCACCCAGCACTGACAGGCTGGAGATCACAGCTCAAAGAGTCTTGTGCCAGCTGCTTGAGTTCAAACTCCTTCGGTGCAAAGGAATCTGAAATGTTAAGGGACTGGGGAAAATGAGATGAAAGTGGCTCTGCACAGGTAATAGTCAGAGAAGTCTTTGTGCTTCCAAGTGCTCCCATGCCCATACACTGAGAGATCACTGAGAAGAGTGTTGATCTCAGCAGTGTGCAGCAACATTAGCAGTGTGGGTTCACTTTGCTCCTTTATTCATGGTTCAGCTGATCCATTAGTCCTATCTGAACTTCAAAGATCTTTTCATATGCCTCCTGGAACTGTTCCTTCCTTAAGTTTTTCTCCAATTTGCTGACTGCACTGCACAGCCCACGTAACCAAAGAGGTATTTTTATCTGGTTGTGTTATAGGGCATTTGATTTATTATTCCTGGCTCCAGGCTAGTGATTCTAGCACCGTATTTTCATTTGACTCAATCACCTCAAAGACCATTTTTCCTGTCCTTATTTTCTTGCCAGCATTTTGGAAATAGGAACAAGACAGAAAAAAAAGCATTAAGTTTCGCAGTTTGGTTCTTCATCATTTAGAAGAAGTCTCAGGATGTCTTTCTGTTTTTTAAACATTCCTCCTATTTTGTGTGTTACAGCTTCATTTTATTCCAGAAATCACAGGTTCTCACTTATTTCCAAATAGCCCTGGCAAGAGCTGAGGAAGTTGAATCGAACACGATCGATTAAGCTGACAATGGAGGTGTAATCCCTCTCCCTTTTCAGGGTGAAAGGGGAGTAGACACTCAACAGACCTTGTACCAAGGCAAGCAAAACTCTTGCACAACCTGTTGGGTTTTGGGAGGCAGCTCCCAGGGCTTTCAATCTAGGAACTGGAACCAGACAAGATCCAATGACACAAAGAAACAAAACACAGAGGTGGAGGGATACCAGAAGGCAAAGTACAAGGATGACCAGCCTTATCTCCATGATTTAGAGCAAAAAACAAGGCAGATATATCTGTTTTATAACTCTGTGGCCATCCAAGGAGTTACTCTAGGGAGGTGCTTTGCCCTGTGGGAATGGAAGGGCTCAAAATGCCACTGGTCACTGCATACACACCAGGCAGAAACTGTGTGGAAAACAAAATCCCTTCCTGTCATCATGACCAGCCTGGAGTGAGGCAAGTGTGTTTGTCCTTTGTGAAACAGCAGTGGAGGAGCACCAGAGAGCCAGCTCTGAACATAGTTCCAGCTTGGATTTGAAGGCAGCTGTCCTTGCAGGAGTGCACACTGGGTGACGTTTAAGGAACTTGTGCCTCATTTCAACAAGCAGAAAATTGGCTCAAGACTCTTATGTGGAGCTTTTGTGCTACAAGTATAGTAAATAAAAAAGTTTTAAAAAGACACTTTATTTGCCTTGGCTTGTGAAATGGTTTGCATGCAGAGCAGCCCTGTCTGGAGATTCTGCAGGGACATGTGTGTCACAAAAGGCTCTGCTCTTAAGTCCATTTTGAGATCTGTCAAGATTAGCACCCCACAAAATAGACTCTTGGTTTTGATTGTTTCTCTGCTCTGCCTATACTTGAACAGAAAGTGTGGGAAATATTTATGATGCTGGTAGAAGTTTGCTCTCTCCAAGAAAGGGAAAAGCTGAAAGTCACGGGAGGTGCAAAGGTGCCAACAGCAGAGTGCAGCGAGGCTGGGCAGCCTCGGTAAGGCAGCAGAGGCACCTCTTGCATTGCAGGGGTGCAGAGCAGCCCAGCTGGGCAGCGTGGTAAAGCTGCAGTTAGAGGAAGGAAGTGGTACAACATAAACACCTCCTGGGGCTCAGCACCCTGGCAGCTGCAGCAGGGCAGGTTGTCAGGCACTGCTGCTCAGGCACCAGGCATGCAAGCACTGCTAGGGCCAGGAGAGAGCTGCTGTCGTTGGCTTTGCTCACTGGCATGCAACAGGCCCTTCTCAACAAATTTACCAATAAAACATCAGGTAAGAAGACAAATATCCCTGCACGCGTCAGCACGGAGAGGGAGAGGGTCTGAGGGCAAATGTGCCTTTTCATCACTGATATTGAGGATTTCCTCCAGGTTGGAAAGATGGAAAGTAAAGGCACCAGCCTGCTGGGCTCCTATAGCTCAGCCTTGCAGGCACTTGCAGTGCAGACTGTGGTTCGTGTGGCCCTTTCTGAGGATTTCTGCAGGTTGGAAAGATGGAAAGTAAAGCCTGCTGGGCTCCTATAGCTCAGCCTTGCAGGCACGTGCAGTGCAGACTGTGGTTCGTGTGGCCCTTTGAACTAAAGGGCAGTTTACTCAGAAAACAAACAGAAAAGCCAGCTGGCTCATTCCCCAAAACCAGTTGATCCAACAGAAAAAATGTGTGAGACTTTGAGCAGCTACATTCACCATTTCTGGGCACGGCAATAACTTGACTTGCATTCAGACAACTGAGATCTCACACCCAGCACAGTGTGCAGCCTTCCCCGTGGATGGTGTAACCAGCAGCAGAGACAAACAGACTTCCAGGTACAAACACAGCTTAACAAGGAGGGGACAAAAACAATTCTGCAAACTGGAACCCTCCTTGTGGAGGCCTGCACCTGGAAATGGGAGGTCACAGGGACAGGAGAACAGGAAAGCAGGAATGGCACAAAGGGACACAGGCTATGGCTGTGAAGAATGCTGCACAGGTGTGGGTGATGACATGATGTCCACTTCCTTCCAAATCCTGATTACAAATCCAAACAGAGCTACAGCAGCTGGCAAATGCAGCCACTGGCTTTATGGAGGATGTGAGGAGACTGAAGAGCAGTGGAGCATTAACCATGTGTGGGACACTCCCTGGCTCATGTACCAAGCTCTCTGCTCACGCGGGGCCGGCCAGCACAGCTCCCTGTGCCACCAGTGCTAGCCAGCCCCAGCAGCACGCCGTGCCAACAGCCTGGCCAAAATGGTTTCTGCTGTGCTGGCAAACCACTCCGGGAGAGGGACAAAGCATGATGTGGTTTGCAGAGGGAACCACGTGGTTTGCAGCAGCTTGACCAAGAAAAGCAGCTTTTTTCCACTGTGCAGGGTGTTTTTTGTAGAATGTAGCACGAGTCTCTGGGCGAGGAGATTTACTGACTCTGTCCTTGCCAGAAGCTGGAGGCATCCCTTGGGCACCAGCACAGCTCCCTGCTCCTGGGCACTGTGTCCCTCTGCTCTCACAGGTGATGCAGCAGCATCTAGTGGCCAGGTGCTCCAAAGGCCCTGGCAGGGTTCCCACCGCGGGCTGGGTCCTGACCTGTCCCTTTCCTAAAGAGCAAAATATCTTCCAGCAGACTGTTTCCACTTGGCAAAGTGAAAACCATCTGCTACAATGTTTTTTCCTCGTTTCAGACACACCTGTTCTGCCGTACCCTCAGGAAACCTTTGCTCTGGCCTGGAAAACTCAGAGCAGAGGTGGGAGGGCAGCTCTGACTGCCCCTGCTCCCACACAGACTGAATCACCTCAGCCCTGAAACAGATCCAGTGGTGCTGGAGCATGAAGGAAAAGCCTGCAGGGCTACACTTCCCATGCTGCAGTGGACGAGAGAGAAAAGCTGCTCATGGCAATCTAAGATGTGTTTTTCTTCCCTTCTGAGCTGCAGAAAGGCTGGGAATGAAGGGAAGTGCATTTTGTGGAATGTTTATGATTTTTAGAAGAAATGTTGAAAGACTACAATAAGCCTTCAGAAAAATAATCCATTTTATTAGAGCATAACTCTCTAATTCTGCTTCAGGAGCTGCTGCTTGAAAT